CCCGGCTCCAGGCAGGTGTGCCGGGCAACCCAGAGCAGGTGAGTGAAAATCCTGCATGGCAGGGACCCCTGTTTGGGGCACAGTCCACCTCTGGGCCGGAGCCGTCTGGATTTCCACAGCAGTGCCTGGAAAAGCCGAGAGCATCACACAGAGGGGGAGTGGGCCAGAATGCCTGCTTTTGGCCTGTCGTTGAAGCGACTGCACACATTCCTGGACTTGCGGCCCATGAGCCGGCGACGTGGGGGCCGCTCCTCGTGCAGCAGCTCCGAGAGGGCTCACGCCTCTCCTCAGCCCAGCCCAGGGTTCCAGGGGGCGGTTCTCCGCGCCCGGCCCTGCCGTGCCTCCCCTTGCCAGGACCAGCATCCTGCCCCATGAGCTTTTCGTTCCTGCTGGCTCAGCTCTCCGCACATTTGCCAAGCGCGACTCGGTGGTTGTTGCAAAACCCGGGAGGGAAATCCTGTATTGATGCACTCGGGGCTTATTTGGAGCTGGGAATGAATTGGCGCTTCCGGCATCCTGCTTCTCTCCCCCTTCCCCTCAAGAGGAGCTGCACGAGGCCCAGCAGCCGGGCAGGAAACAATCTGCACGTGTCGGCCGGGCAACTGCACCAAGGCCGGCAGGGCAGCCAACTCACAACAGTGCTCTTTTCCGATTCACAGCACTGTGGTACAGCAGCGCTGGAAGGGGCCAGGAGGCCGCCGGATTCACGGCCGCAGGACCTTCCTTGCATGGAGGAACGTGGCGTGAACGAGCCCTGAACTGGGGAACGGAGCGCAGTGTGGGCGGGCTGGTCCACATTTCCCGCTTCCAAGAGTGCCTTTCACTCCTCTCACTGCCCCCCTTTCTCCCCCAACCTTTCTTTTTGCAGCGAAACCTCAACTCTCCTTGACTTTAGTCCAGCACGTCGTCATCCCTGAGTGTTTGGGGTGGTCCTCAGGTTTTGGAGGGGGCTGCACTGCTGCAGCGCTCTGGGTTCCCCTCCGGCTCTTCCAGGGCCTTCTCCGGCTCCACCATCCCAGGCACGGCCCTTCCAACTTCCGTACTGTGAGGAGCGATGTGAAAGAAGATGCCTGCACCTGGCCCGGCCGTTACCTGTTGAAGCCGCTATCGGTTCTGCCCGAGCCTCTTGCCCTTCAGTGCCTCCTCCCCCGGGAGAGCTCCTCCCCATGGGTCAGGGGGAACTGATCAGCAAGGCAGCTCCTGCCTCTCGGCCCTAAGCTCGAGGGGCTCCCCATAGCTTGCCCACTGCCGTAATGCCGCGTGCCCACCAGCCTGCCAGGGAAGCGAACCCCTTTCCCCAAAGGCGTCTTGCCACCAGAAGCCACGGCTGGTTTTTGAGTGAGGCCGTGCCTGCAGGCTGGCATGCGAAGGGTAAGATAGAGGGCAAGGCGGGCATTTCTGGAGGTAAGATCCAATTGATTGCGTGCTGTGCAGCTCCCAGGCTGATCCCAATTGCCCATAAATGCCTTGATCCCAGGACAAAAGCATCTCTTGAGGGGGCAAACAGGAAAAACCTGATGCCTCTCCCTCACACTCCACCGTGACCACTCCAGGTTTGGGCTTTCAGGCTTTGCACTTCCTGAACATTCATCCTCCTTTTTGGTCGGAGACACAAAGGAATGAGCACACGCAAACCCACAGGCCTCAGGGCCAGGCTTGGTGGCATGTGGGGACCCAGTCGGACTGCTCCTGGCCCCTGCTGCAGGAGTGCCTCCACAGGAAACTCCCCAGAAAAAGCGGAATGTGCAAAACCAAGACAGACCCTCTCCAAAGAGGCACTCAGTTCTGACCTAAGTGCCGGTTTCAGCCTAAGGCACCAGCTTCTTCCAGTCGTGGCCAGAGCTGCCCAGGACATGGGAGGAGAGAGCTAAGCCCAACCTGCTTCGCTTCCTTCAGGAATTCCTCCAGTGTTGTGAGTGTGTTTGTGGAGGTGGAACACGTTTGCCAGGGAACTGGCTCAGCTCTGCCGAAGTTCATGCACCGCAGCCGTGTCATTCGGAGTGCAGGCCAATTGCGGTAGTGCTTGAAGTTGGCTCTCGGGGGCTAGAGTCCCCAGGGACCCTCATCCCCCAGGGTTAGCTGGCTTTCCACCCCCTTGGGCTCCCCTCCTACTCCCCCTCCCAAATCTGTGTGCCTGAGGATTTCCCCAGTCCATGAATCCCTTTTCACAAAAGGGATTGTCCTTAGGAGACTGAATGCTTTAAGGGCGCACACAGAGAGACTTTAGAAAGTGTGTTGATGCAAATTCATGCAAATTTATGCAAATCATGGGAGCCTGAGCCCAGCACCATCCCTGCGTCCTATGCCTACTTAGACAGCAAAAGTCCTAAAATTCCCAGCATTTCCCAGCCATCCTTTAAGGAACTTTTTGGCATCTATTTGGCCTGGGAGTGTGTTCTGGGTGCGTGAACCGTTTGGATGCGGAGGCCCAACGATCCTGAAAAAGGAAATCCATGATCATTCTGTGTCAAATGGAAATAGGAAAAATCTAACTTCTTAAATAAAGTTTAACATGCCAAAACTAGAATAATTGTCTTACCACCAACTACTCAAGTTACAGATCGTGGCTGGTCATATTATGCATAGCTTTAATATTTAACTGAGTGTTGAACAATGAAACGTTTTGCATTGCATTACCATTCGACACTTTTTTGGTTGGGGCAGGTTACAGCTCCTCTTCCATACCCGGAGTGTTTGCGTGCACAACGACGACAACAGCTACAGAAACACTTCCAGCTGTTGATGAAGTGGCCCACAAAAACCTTCATGCCAGATGCAGGCAATCTTGTGCTTTCCAGACCTTTTGCTCTATGACTTTCATAGCCTCTGACTAGCCATGCAGCCAGGGGCTTATGGGAACTGTAGTGCAAAGCATCTGGAGGTCACCAATAGGCTACCTGTCTCCTATCTTATGCCATAACCGATCTGAACCTTTTTAAGGTACCAGTGATGTAACCCTCTACCTCAAGCCAAGAAGAGCAATGAATCAAAGGGAAAAGAACTTGTCTATCCAGACCTTGCTTTAAGTGGACGTGCAATGTGACAGGCATGCTGGGAGTTGTAGTCCAACGTATCTGGAGGGCACAAGGGGTAGAAGGCTGCCATATAGGATGGGTGTGCGGGATTCAGTGTTTGTGTGATGCCCACCCTGTCGCTCTGATCCAGTGCTTTATTTTAAGAAGGGTGTAAGAATCACCCTATTGGATCTGACCAGAGACTGATCGTCACGCTTTTCGTCCACACGGTGGCAAACCAGCTGCCCACAGGCCCCCTCCAGCAGGATGGGGGCAAGGCCTCCCCTGCCCAGCTCCTCGGCGACAGGTGCATGCAGGCCTGACGGAAGGAGCACATGGCCAGCAAGGCTGGTAGCCCCGGAGAGCCTCCTCATGGACTTGTCCCATCCCCTTTTAAAGCTCTTCAAATGCGTGTCCATCACTTCCCACGGCAGCGGATTCCATAGTTTAACAATGTGCCCACGGTAGGCATGTCATGAGCAGAGCCGGGGGTCAGACTAGATGCTTCAGGAGACCCCTTCTGACTCACGGTTTCTGTTTCTACGCTGCACAAAGGTGTCCTTCTGTGTCTTGAATCTCACACCAACCTCACCGGTTGGCCCCAGTGGGTTCCAGGATTATGAGAAATGAGGAAAAACCTCTCCCTGTGCATGATCTTTGCGCCAGGCGCGCTTTTGTATGCGCCTCGAGCATGTCTCCCCCTCCTCGCCTTTTTTCTAAGCTAAAGAAACCCAGTTGTTGTAATCATTCCTCGTAGGGGATTTCCCCACACAGGCAAACCGAGCAGCATCAGCAAAAGCTGGAAGTGAACACTTAACACCCACTGATGTTAAGAAACTGGACAGCCCTCTGAGTGGGATGGTGTGACGAGGTGTCCTGCAACAGCAGGCTGGACTTGATGGCCTTCATGGCCCCTTAGAGCTCTTCCATTCTATGATTCTATGAACATAGCAGACAAACCCAAGTGTTTGGGGTTTTTTTTTTCCTCTACCACAGAGCATTGGCAAGAGGGTGGATCTCCCCAAACTCTTATCCATTCATCTATTTTATTTATGGTTTCGATTCCAGCTTTGGGATTGAATAGCCAGGCTTGCTCCTTCAAAGACAGTTTATTTTTAAGTGGAAATGCATCCTTCCCTAACAAGGCATTTTCAGTGCATCCTTCCTGTTGGGGTTACCAGAGTTCAACAGGCTTTCCGTCTGAGAAAGAGAGAGGCAAAACGCATTCTTTAAAGAACAAGACTTTAATACAAATAAGTGTTTCTTACAAATAAGATGCCAGTTCCCTCCCAGCACTAAATACTATACAACCTTAGAAAGAAATATGAAGAAACATTATAAATAATGCAGTGAAGCATCTTCAGTGCAACAGGCATTGCAAAAGTGAGTGGGACTCAAGAGTTTTGTACACACACACACACACACACACTAAACACACAATGTCCGCATGGCCCCACAGAGGCAGGTGGATGCCCACATGGCTAAGCACCTACCAGAATTCTGTCAATGCTGGCCTCTTACCAGATGAGCATTTTCTGCACTGGATCTTGAGCGACAAACACGATCTTTTTGTGCACAGCTGGATGGGAACCAGCTGTTGTCCTCTCCAGCCCTTTTTTGTGTCCTCCGAGCCAAAAGGAGGGGTGAATCGTCCATTTTTGAATTTACAAGCGATCCACTGTGGTCAAAGATCTGACCCATGACACTGACCTCCCCTTCTTAACCGGAAATCCCACGGCCAAGCAAGAGGCAAGACAAAGAGCGGCCTGGCATCATTCCCCGATGGACCACGGATCCAGAGGGTTCTCGGGAGCATCATTCCCAGCCCACCCCATGAGGAAGGATCCCCCTCTGAAAGATCAAGAGAGGTGCATTTCCTGCCCCCCACAAGAGTCTCCCGTTCCCATCAAAGATCAGCTGCCCAATCCAATAAATACATCAGCTTCCCCAACCTGGTGCCCTCCAGATGCACTGAACCATCCTCCCCTGCTGGCTGAGAATGATGGGCATTGTGGTTCCATACATCAGGAGGGTGCCAGCTTGGGGAAGGCTAACCTAAACAAACAAAAGCAGGGAGGGAAAGGACAGAGAAAACAGTTTGGGACAGGCAAGAGCAATCGGAAACGGGCTCCAGTCCTGGAATAAAATCGGGAGACGGCTCAGCCAGCCAGGTGCACAGCTCTCGGCACAGCCGTGACAAAGGCGCAAAGCCGAGGCGAGATTCCTTGCACGACACTCCCCAGCCTTCTGTTTACTGCCTGGGGAGCCACGGGGGCGGGGGGGGGGAGAAAACTCGTCTTCTGTTTCAGCCGTTATGCAAAGTGCAGCCCCAAAGGAACTTTGATTTTCCTAAATGATTCGGCAGGAGTTCTATTTTAATTGGCTGCTGCCTTCTAAATTGCCTTCCCATATATGGGTTTGTTTGTTTTTTGATAACAGACACGGGTGATCGAAGTCACATCTAAGTTCCGCCTGGCATTTTTTTTTTCTTGCCCAAACCACCCCAGAGTTAAGAGCTCTCTGGAAACAAAAGGATCGGGTCAGAGACAATGGGACTTTTTCAGAGGACTCACCACAGCGGACTCAGAACCACAGGCTCTTGCGCTTCCCTAAAGGGGATGGAGAGAAGATGGTCTGGGCCCCAGGACTTAAAGAACGCACACACTTGCAAAAGCTTGCAAAACACTGTCTGCTCTCTGAAGGAGTGTCCCAGCATGCCAGCCCCCAATTCCCTCTGCTCTGGACAGTTCACAGGCAGGCAGGCTGCCCAGTTCTGCCTCAATGCCGTGTGCAGGATGCTACCCCAGGCGCTCGGCTGCCTCCTGGGCTCCGGGCCAAGCAGGTATTTCCAGGATGTGCACAAAAGCAGCCTGCATTCCTTGCTCATGCCCCGGTAGGCCTGGGGGCTTTCCAGTTCTCTCAGCTGCAACCCTTCCGCTGTTTCCAGCCCACTGTTGTCTTGGCCACAGCGTACACCTTCCACCTTGCACGCAGGTTCTCAGGGCAAGGCATCCAAGCAGGTGTTCTAGTCACCGGAGCAAAAGCACCTGGCTAAATGTTCCACTGCATTTGGAAGCTGCTGCCGCCCATGAGCCAAAAGCCCTGTATTTCTAGGGGGCGTCTCTTCTACGGGAGCTCTGCAACACCCACCTGTTCTGGAGCTCCTTCCTCACCTGGACTACACAACCCCAGTGGACTGGCTCTCCTTCACTCTACCTCAGCTGTTCCCAACCTGCTGATCCCCAGACGTGTCAGACTACAACTCCCAGCATCCCCTGCCAGCATGGGGAGAGCTGTGGCGCAACACACCTGCAGAACCCCAGGTTGGCTAAGTCTTGGAAAAGGTAAATGGGGATGAAAATCCAAGGAACATGTTTATCTTTGCCTTGGTGTCGAAAGTTATATCAGAAGAGGCTCAAGTGTTCCCTGCAGGCGAAGATTCTGTCCAATCGAACGGACAGGATCATGGGAATTCGGAGCAACGCCAGCCTGAGGGGGATGACCCCCCCCCACCCTGCCACCTCACACAGACCAGACACTTCCAAAGGGGCTCAGACAAAACCATGCAATGGCAGTGGAAGATCCCCCCGACAGTCCAGAACAGGCCACACGGAGACAGGGGGGCTTCCTCTCCGCTCGTCCGCTAGACGTTGGAGACTTTCTGGGCCTCCCTCGCCTGCCGCAATCCGTACAGCCACTTGATGACCCGTGCGTTGCGCTCGATGATGGAGATGCCGTAGGGCATGCGCTCCGCCTGCCTCTCCTCCAGGGTGATGGCGCTGCGCCGGGAGCGCGTCCCCTCCGAGCTGGCCGTGCTGACGCTGTGGAACTTGACGGACACAATGTCCGAGCTGGCCCGCGTGAACCGCTCCACGTCCATGTCCCGCACGTCCTCCGGGTCCAGGCCGCAGTAGTTGAAGAAGCGCTCCAGGTCGGCCGTGGCCCGGGAGTACCGGTCGCTCAGGTCCGATTTGGATCGGTGCAGCACGGTCTGCCGCTTGGCGCTCTCTGTCCGCAGCTCCCCGCAGGGGCCGGGGGAGCTCAGGGGACCGCCGGGCAGGATCTTGGGGTGCGCCGGAGACACGGAGGCCGGGGTCAGCTGGATCGCCGGGGCAGCTCTCGCCCGCAGCACCCCACAGGGCCGGACGTCCACCCTGCGCACGGCGACGGTGCTGGGGGGCTTCGAGGAGGCTGAGCTCTGCGAGAGCTTGCTCATGCCCTCCGAGGGGCCCGGCTTCCGCGGGGTCTCCGGGAGGCTCCTGCCGTGGGCCTCGGACGTCCATTTCTGCTCCAGGGGGCTCTTCTCGGGCTTGGGGAACGCCAGGGGGCTGTCGCAGAGGTTGATCAGGTTGTTGAGGATCTCCAAGTTCAGGGAAGACTTGGCTCCGCAGGCCTCTGCCCGGCGCCCTCCCTGCGGGGTCTTGCGGCTCGGGGTGAGCATCGCCCGCCGCACCCCCGGCGTGAAGAGCGGCTGCTTGAGGAACTGCGGCCTCACGGGCTCCTGCCTGGTGCTGGCCACCTGCAGGCTCTTGACGTACTTGGCCTTGTCCGCCTCCAGCCTCTCCACCGCGCTGGGCTTCTTGGCGGCTGTGGCCGGCCGGCGGAAGTAGCCGGGGCCCTTGTTCAGGATTCGGAAGGGCATGGCCGAGGTGAAGGGTGCGGAGGCCGCGGCGCCTTGCAGGGCAGGGTGGCCGGCCTGGAGCGCCTCCACCGGCATGGTGCGCCTGCCGAGGCGAGGTGCGGGAGGGGCGGCACTCACCTGTTCCCACGACGCGTCTCCCAGGGCGGCCAGGGGCAGTCACATGCCGCGGGGAGCGCGCCGCGGCAGGCTGGGCCGACCGTCCGTCCGTCCGTCCAGCCGCGGGGTCGTCGCGGGTCCTCCGCGGGGCTGCGGGAAGGGAAGGGAAAACAAGGCGCACGATCAGGGCCGGACCCCGCGCCCGAGCGCTGCTGCTGCTCCGGCGCGGCGCCGCCAGACAAAGGCTGCGCGCGTTCGGCGGAGGGCGGCCGGCGCCGCTGCCCTTTTCTAGGCACACGCCCCGCCCCCCGCGCCGGAGGGGCCGCCGCCCGGCCAATGGGCCGCGGGAGAGACGGTTCAAACGGGGCCCCGGCCTATCGCGGGCGCGCGCGGCGGCGGCGGCCGGCAACCCGCCCACGGAGGCGCCCGCCCCGCCCCGGCGGCACCTGTGCGCTTCTCGCGCGGGAGCGGGTGGGCGCCGCGGCCGGGAGCCGCACGCCCCGAGCGCTGGGGGGCTTCCTGCGCGCGCCCCGCCCGCCGCCCGCGTCCCGCCGCGCCGAGCTCCCCGGGGGCCGCTGCATGAACGGACGACCGGCGCGGGCGCGGGCGGGGGCGAGGAGGGAAAAGGCCACGGGGCTGATTCATCCCGGTCCCCAAGCCCCCGGACTATTTTCAAAATGCAGCGATGGGACTTATTAACGTTCATTTAGTTTAGTGATTTATGAACCGCCCTTTAGGACAAAGCTCTCCCGGGGGGGGGGGCGGCCAAATTCAAAGCCACCAAGCACAATTTAAGAAGAAACCATGATAAAAAAGAACACAATAAAGCCGAAATTAACCATTAAAACCAGACAGCTCCGCTGCAGCAGCTGAGATTGCTTCGCTTAGAAAAAAGCCAGTGAAGGGGAGACCTGATGGGTTGATTAAAATTATGCATAGCGTGGAAGAAAGGAGAGGAAATACTTTTCTCTCTCCTTCCTAATGCTAAAAGCCGAAGGGGTCATCCTGCAAAACTGGTTGCTGGGAGGTTTGGGCCAGACAAAAGCAAGCCCTTCTTCCCCCAGCACACAGGAAACGCTGGAACTCGCTGCCACAAGGAGTGGTGATGGCAGCTTTTGAAGGGGATTGGGCGATTCGTGGAGAAGCACTACCCGTGTCTACCACTTGAGGGCTACCTGCTGCCTCCAGTTCCAAGACAGTTGGCCTATGTTCACCAGTGGCTGTGGAACATGGGGACTGAGGGTCCCTATGGGCCACTGCTTAGCTACTCTGTGAACAAAATGTTGGACTGGATGGACATCTGGTCCAATCTCGCATGGGTCTTCTGTTCTTTCGTGGTTTTACATTTAAAAAAAATGTTTAATAGAAAGACCAAACCAAACCAAACCACCCCATTCAAGAGAAGAAAGCATAGAATAAACAAAAACATTGCCATTTTAAAATACGCTGTAAAAAGATTCATACGGATCGTTACATATATATTATATATCCCTTGTTATTAGCATGTAACAGAACAAACTACCATTTGCACCCCAAAATAGATGGATCCATCTGCAAATTATGCCTAAAGCCACCTATTCGAAAATCAAACATTTCATAGCACTTTCCAGCCACTGTGTCTCTGCAGAAGCAGTTTAAAGTCCTTCTAGTATTTTAATTTTAGTCTTTTAGCTATCAAGAGCCTGGAGGATCATTTCTGTTGCCCTTGCACTAAATTTCAAGAGATGGGTAGCTAAATCAACAGAACATATGTCCAATTAAATATTAAAGAACCTCCCAGTACAAGCTTTATCCAAATTATTACCCCTCCCCAAAAGGAAACCACACTGGTCATTGTTGGCACATAAAGAGAAGCTTTCCCATCATTGCACCTCTGACCATTGGCCTGTTAAATTAAGCGCTTATCAAAGAGGCGTTACAGTATCCAGTATACTCAAAACACCAATTTTTATGGAATTAAGCATAGCTTAAGATCCATAACCCCTAGCAAAAGAGGTAATAATGAAGCACTCCGTTTTGACTGGGCAAAACGGAGTACTCCGGTTCATGATTCCATTCTTGAGACTCTGTTTAATCATATTAATTCACTGATAATAGATATTTTGGCATGTGCATCATATACCAGTGCAGCTGTTGCGCTTCAGTCAATATTTCCAGGTGGCACTGAAGTTGTGAATGTTCTGGGACCAAACCTGGAATCTAGTGAATGCCTTCACTGTGCAAGCAGCTGTGGCTTGTAATTTGAAATTGGCACATGCAGCGAAAAATGGCAGCAGCTTATGGGCGGGACTGGCAGATGATCCAGTGTAAAACTGAGCTTGTCCATCCAAGTCTGCCAAACAAATGTTTTCTTGCGAATTCTTAAATCTGAATTTCCCCATAAAGGTAACTTTGCAAGTTGAGAGATGTCAAGCTGTAATTGACATGAAGATATACACCACACCCCTGCAGCTCTCTGAGCTGGAAAAAGCATGTTATTTCCTTCAAGGCGATGGCAGCCCAATGCAGCCCACTGGGAAGAGAATCCAGAAATGAAGATTTCAAAATTGAACAGGGAAAGCGAACTAATCCAGGCAAAAAAGAGCAAACCCTAGTGCCGGGCAGAAAATAGTGCTGGTGCTATAAGAATTAGAAGGCCAAAACTTTAATTACAAGTTGCCTTATTTTCAAGGATATTCATTGGGGGGGGGGGAGGTGGCTCCCATAACATTTACGAAACAAAACATTACTCTTCTGGAAGTACTTGCCAGGCATAAATGTGCTTCTTGTGTTCTTATGTTGACTCATTCATGGACCCAAGTAAATAAGCAAGCATTTCAGAAGGCCTACAGTGATGGGCCAGGCAGACGCCAAACGGAAGAGTCCCACATGGGGCCTCAACAGAGAAGGCCCCGTATCTCACGTCCACTGCTTTGCCAGATGTCTCTCTCTCTCTCTTTTAAAGCCGTCTCTAAACTGGTGGTCCTCGCCTCCTCTCACGGCAGGGAATTATATAAATTCCTTGTGTGGAGTCACAGATGTGCGTGCGCACACAACCGTGCTATATCCCTCTTGTAATGAGGGGCCCAAAGAAGAGGAAATCCACCCTAGATTGAGGTCCAGAGGGGGCACAGATCTGCACGTGACTGAATTGGGCCAATTTATCCATAGGGAGGCACAGAAACAAATCATTCCCGTGCTTTTGGCTGGTTCCTGATGGGCCACTTCAAGGCTCTGAGCTCCCTCCAGACCAGACTGTGACTGAACCATCCACAACAAAGATGCAACTTTGAAGCAGGACATATGGGCACCCACCCGGTGCCCACCAGGTGCTTGGGACGTCAGGTCCCATCATTCTGTGCATGATGGGAGATGAATTTCAACATAGCAGGAGGGTCCCAGTTTGCGGAAAGCTGCATCAAGCTCTTGTGCATGTTTAGACTTTAAAAAAGCCCTAGCAGGCCAGCTGTTCTAGGACTTTTTCCCATCTGGATGAACACAGGAGCGTATCTTTAGTGAGTCTCTAGAAGCACACAAGGGAAGAGGGAAAGCAGAGGGTGGAGAAAAGGGAATTACCAGTGCATCTCGGCCAAATGGGTTTCCTCGTCAAGCTGCTTTTCCACAGAAAAAGTGGCGTTGCGGGGTCTCTATCGGGGTCTCTAACTTGGGGTGGAATGCCAAGTTCTCTACAGGGGACCTCCCTAGGTCTAACGGGGCTGATATGTTGAGGGGTACACATCCGTGTTACCCAGAGATGTTGCCGAGCATTGTAACAATCCATATCGCTTGAGAACAAAGCGGGGGAAGAGAGAGAGAGAGAGAGAGAGAGAGAGAGAGAGAGAGAGAGAGAGAGAGGGAGCACGCGAGCGAGCACAAGATCACCCATTCTCTGGATGATGCTTAAACAATCCACTTTTGGCGTTTTCGGTTCCCTGCTCTCCCTTGACAATGTTGCAAGCAGCTAGCTGAAGATGAGTCCTTTCTTTTCACTGCACGGATGCTTGTGTTGCAGAGGTATTATCTTGCTTTGAGATGAAGTTTGCTGCAGGTTGTTTTTTCTGAAGAGAGATGCAACGCCACCCTAGATATTCGTCTGGTACCGACGCGATTTGGAGATCTGTCTGGTTTTCGGTGGGACCAATTTGGCCTGTTATTGGCAGGTTTACTGCTGCGGTTAGTGTATGGTTTATCGTTTCAACGAAAGTCAGATCAATGTATTGTTGTGGTTTGCCATAAGGACAGTTCCCCCAACAAGGCACCCTTTCCCAAATCCATAAATAGATCAATCCAGTGACTTGGGGGGCTTGTTAAAAAAAAACAAAAAACAGTGATCATCATCATCCTCCGTTTAACAACGCTACAGTCTTACATTACAGCCGTGCCTACAAGCATTTCCCAAAGCTGGAGCTGAGACAAGAGAGATGGGAAAATATGGATCAGATGGGAAAAGAGGGCGCAGGCCCCATTTCCCACATGTAGGGTAGTGGGGCGCTTCTCTCCCCACACAAACAAGGGCCTTTAACCCAGCATGATCTTTCCTTCCTCCACCCACCACCTCCCTAATCCTAGCAAGATGGGAATTTTAAACAGTTTCAACAGTTCCCTGCACCTCATTAGCTGGCAGGATTAGCAGCAGGGGGGTATGCAAATGCTTCGGGGGCTGGGGCACAGTGGGGGAAGATGGCAAGATTTTGCAAGAATACAGCCAGACTCTTCTGAGATAAGAGAATGCAAATCCTTTGTAGCCACAACTGGAAATTTAGAGGAAACTTATGAAAAAACTGTAGAAAGGCCAAAGCAGTGCAACTGATCACTCCTGGGAGATTGCAGCTATCTCCCATGGAAACTCCAGAGCATTTGTCTTTTCTTTCTTTTCTGAAAAGCAGGAGGCTAGTCCTCATGGTTCCATGGCACAGCTGCAAGACTGCATTCTTGAATTAGCATCAATCGGCCAAACTCTGTGCTCACAATCACTACAAAGGGTTACAGCACTCATTTCA